ATTTGAGCATGGCTACCGGCGAAAAGGTTTCCTCATAATCGATCCCTTCTTTCTGAGTGTACCCTTTCGCAACAAGCCTAGCTTTGAAGGTCTGAACCTTCCCATCTGCTCCTCTCTTTCTCTTATAGACCCACTTGCATCCAATGGCGCGAACGCCACTAGGTGGCTCTACAAAATCCCAGACCTGATTAGTGTTTATTGACTCTATTTCAGATTTCATCGCCTTTTGTCAAGACTTTGCGTCCCGATCTTGGAGTGCCTCATTGTATGTCCATGGGTCGGATTCAAGAACGTCCGGGACGACCTCAGAAGACTTGTAATGCCCCATTCCATTTATAGAATTTCTCAGAATATTCTATTTATCGATTATTATTTATGAGGTTATTTTTATTTTATTGGTCGCGTCGCCGACTTAAATAAACGGTTGGAATACTCGATCGTTTTATTTTAAAACGTTCGTTGTTCGGCGATTTCGGTTTAATCGCGTAGTTCGGATTTAACCCGTTTGATTATTGGATTTATTTTCGGGTATTATTATTATTATTATTATTATATTATTATTATTATTATTATTATTATTATTATTATTATTATTATTATTATTATTATTATTATAAATTCCCTAATTGCTTTTAATTGTTTAAATGTTTAAATTGAATATTTGCTTATTAATATGTAAATATTATATGTAAGTATTGTGTATATATATATATTTATTGTATCCGGTCTTATATTAATTATCGTGCGATTTTTCAAAGCCTTGTCTATTATCGTAATTGGAACCGAGAGCCGACCCGCATTCGAACCGCGTCCCACACCCTCAGCCGCCCCGGTTTCCTTTGTTTCGTGGGTGTGGGTGCATTATCTTGGTCACAAGATTATTAAACCTATGCTACTATATATTTATATAGAGAAGGGATCATATGAGAATGATTCTTAGTGAAAGAAATAAGAATGATTTTGGATCATTGGATCAAGGACATCAATGGTTATGATGAAGTCAAACTGTGGTCAATCATTAATGGCAATCTAGTAATTATTTGATCATGTTATGGTCAAATATGTTCATTTGACCTATAATTAAGGGTAATATAGTCATTTCATTCAAATCTAACAATAAATGGGACCCACCACTAGCCACATTAATACCTCTACAAAATATACAACCCACCTACCTCTCCCTCTCTCTGTCACGCACAAACTGTCTCTCTCTCCCACCCACACCTACACACACACACAGAGTTTTGCACCGCCCACCTGCTGCCACCGGCCCCCGTCCGTCGCCAGCATCCACCCACCGCAGCCACAGTTGTCGTCGTCCTTCATCTACCGTAGCCTCCGTTGATGTCCTTTGTGCGGTGCTGGAGTTCTCCCGCCATAGCAGTCTCCGTCGCAGATGTGACGATCTCAGTCCCCCCGCCGCCACCAATGGAGCATCCCAGTCACTGACCGTCTCCGTCGTCAGCCGAGAATTTCGAGCGCCCTGCTCGACATCGGCATGGCCAGTTTATCCTACTTCTCAACACCAACGCATCCTCCATCTCCGGCGTCGCCGCCGTCGGCGTAGTTGCCTTCTCCCGGAGTTGAGATCTCTCACCACATCGCCTCCACTTTCCATGTTCTCGAAGTGGCCGGAGAGTTTACAGTAAAATCACGCCATGTACATGAGCGTGAAGCCGACGGGGTCGAGCACCACCGCCATACACCGAACAGGCGCAAATATGGCGCCGTTGATGCTCCCAGATCTGCCATTTTTTTTCTTGTCCTCCATGTGTGTTTGAGTGAACTTCAATGGTGTGTTCAGTGGTGAATGTGGCGGCGACGTTGGTGGTGTGCGGCCGTGCGGGTCAATTTGAGAGGAAGTGGGAGATGATGTTATGTTTGATATGGTGGCTGGACTTATTTTTGTAAATTAGATTAGATATAGGGACTTATAGGCAATTTTTAAGAATGTTTATTTTCTTTAAAAAAAATGTGTACGCTTTTTGAAAAACCAATAAGCATAGTAGAATACTTTGATCAGTTACACATTTTGTTTACTTATTTTCATGTAAGTTTTTAATTCGTTTCAATTTTAATTCTATACTTATTTATAAATTAACATATTTGCACTTTAGTAATGAAATAGATATTAATTTATTAAAAATACTACTAAATGTGCAATAATAATAATAATTAATATTATTGTGCACTTATTAATTTATTTATATACTAAAAATATATTTAATATTTATATTTTTTATTTAATATTGTACATTATTGTTTGTTGAAATAAATAGTATATAGATGATGTAAAAATATATTTTTTATATATATGTTTTGGTCAATTATGTTATTCTTCATATCTAAAAATATATGAAATACTAAAATCAATTAGTTTATTGAAATAATTAGTTAATTCGACCGGTTAATGAAATTATTAGTTAATCGAATTGAAATACTTTATTATTTTTATTATAAAAATATATTTATTTATAAATTGAATAAAATATTATTTAAAAGTAGGTTTGGTTTTTTTTCAAATCGAAAAGATTAGTTCAGTCGATGAAGTGCAATTCGATAGTCATTAATGTGCAATTCATCTAATACTATAGTGCACTTGCAATGCATATATTTTTTAATACTATATGTTATTTTAATAAAAAAACATCATATCGAAATAATCTATATATAAAAAATAATAATAATAATAATAATCGAACCAAAGCGTAAAATTTCGTACTAAATCTTTTTTTGTTGCATATCGTTCAAATTTGTGCAATATGATAAACATTTACGTGCAATACGTATAGTCATAACGTGCACTCGCAATACATATAAATTAGATATATAAAAATCTATTGGTTTTAATAAAAGCATAAATAAATAAAAAATCGGTAATGTTTTTTTTATATAGTTCGATATATTCGGTTATTTTATTTATTTAAAAAGAA